TTTTGTGGATAATTGCTTCTCAATTTGTTGTATGTCTTTGGTGAATTTCAAGAGCACTGAAATGGTTGTTTTAGACTATACTGTCCAGTTTTATTATTGTATAATATTTTATAAGAAAAAAATTAAAACATACAATGTTTTATCATGAAGGTAAATAGTAAGACATGTTCTAAATTGTCTAACTGGTTGCCATTATTATTAGTATTTTGTTTTGTAAACAACAATTATATGCAAAATAAAATGTTCATCCAATCTCAATGCAATATTGGCCCTTGTCTAGACAGTGTTTTTATGAGGAGTTACATTATCTAATATTTAAATTATTCAAGTTCCTTAAAATGTAAGGATTCCAAAAGCTGGTACTAAATAATAATTCATTATTTAGAAACTCCTTTATCTCAAAAATATGTCTTTTCTGACAGATCATTAGGACTACTGTTTTTTTTTTTTTAAAAAAAAGGATGCTAGACATGTACTGTTAGAAAGAGTGTATGATGATTGGATAAAATTAAATATCTCTGTGAACTTAATTATAAGGAACCAGATTGAGACTTGAAAAATAAATATATTTGACTGCAGAACCCAGAGTTATAAAAAATATTTGTACTCTGCTGTAGATGCTCTCTCTTAGACAAAATTGTCAAAAAGGAACTTCACCGGGATTAAGTGCAAGCCTGTGTATGCACATTCAGGATGCACTAAACTGTAGTTCAGCCAATCCTTTTATTTTCCAATCCATTGTTCACCCTAATCACAGTCAAACTAATCACAAGATGAATCTATAAGATAATTAAAGCAACCTCAATTAATGGATCATTTATACTCAGACTCATTCATTTTAAGCATCTGACATAATTACAATTTACAGCTTTCTCTTTGTATTAGAGGGGATACCTGTTAGAACTTAAGCACAATTAGCTGAAAGGAACTGGAAGATGCAGTAAGTGTGATATTATGAACTGTTCTCATGTAATTTTTCTGATCTTTAAATAAAGTAACAAAGTTAATGAATGTGTTCACATAATGATCTGCCAACAACTTGAATGGTCTTAATAAAGTGACTATCTGCAAGAAAAAGCAAAACAGGTTACACACTCCTCACTGCTCTGGAAGGAAGTCTAGAAAGGTGCCAAAATTGCAATAATTTCATGGGAACCAAACAAAAAAAGTAATGATTTTTAAGGCTAAAATTGCACCCTACATTCTCAATATAGTAAAATTGGTATTTAAAAGTGTTTTCTTTTTTCCAGAAATATCTGGAAAATGAGTGAGTTCCAAAATGAGTGAACAGAAAGATGCAGAGCCATGTAGAAAATATTCTTTCATGAAGAAAACTCCAGCACATTACAATGACGCCCTCTGCTGTGGTTTTTGATACTACACCAAATAGCCTCATTTCCAATATGTCTCATTGTCTTTGCAGTGCCAATACTTCCAGAAAACTTTGAGGAAAAAATGACTTAAATCCTTCTATAAAGTTAGTGATCTCCAGGATCTTTTAAAAACTGAAGTGATTGATTCTGGGTAATGTTATTCTGAACATAGTGTTTGAGCCACATAAACTTCAGTAAATCCCTTAGTGACAGCATTATTTATTTAAGAACATATTTTCACTTATTTTGTATTCTATTTAAATAGTTCCAAAAGGAGATGATATTCACGCCAAATGGTTTCTGTAATGACAACTGCTGACCCAATTTGACAGCCAAAAAAAATTTTTTTTTGCTTAGAAATTTTTGTGTCTCAAATGACCTTTCTACTAAAGTGTCTCCATTTCCTGGGAAAAGACATCAAGAAGCCCAGAAAATTAACCCCAAAATTCATATGAGACTAAAACCAATGCCATTTGAGTATCATTTCTTAATTGCCAAAAGCAGATGTGGACTTACAGGGAAGTGAATAAAGCCTCCTTTGCAAGGTCCCTTCTAAGTGTTAGGAGTGGACAGGAGTTGTGAAGTATTTCACGTGGGGAGGAGAAGTCAGATTGCATTGTGGGAACATTTCTACATAAGAATTTCTGGTCAATTGTGTCAAGATAGCTTAGGGGATAAAAAAAGAGACTTGAACCTCTAACAGTCAAGTAAATTGTAATGATTTCTTTTCCTAAGTTAAATATTTCATGCCTGTTTGTTGTTGCTGTTGTTATTATTGTTGTTGTTTTTCTTAAAGAGGGCCACAAAAAAATTGTATAAAGTTCAGGACCGACAAAACCTGAATTGGCTGTTAGACAGTACAATACTACCCAGTACAATCCTGCCCAGAATACGTTATTTTATTTTTACTGGCGTCATCTTGTATTAATAGAAATTATTTTAGAGGCAATTTTGAAACCAAGGCTAAATCATAGCTTTAAAATGCATTGGTAAAATACTTTATACAATTAAGGGAAAGAAGAGAACTAATATATTCTCAACAGTGAAGCCACCCAGCGTTCAGGGGCCGGCCTCTAGCTGTTGATATCTACGTAGGGGTTAAAAGTACTGGCTTTGGAGCCAGGCTATCCTGGATTTCCATTCTGAATCCATCATTCCCTCCTATCTATGCCACCTTTGGTGAGTCACTCATGCCCTGCAAATAGGAGGCATTCAGTAACTATTTGTTGAGTGAATGAATAAATAAATAATGCATCAATCCCACACACTGTCCAGAAAACTTTATCAAATACAGTAGTTCAATTTACTTCCATTTTATAAACTATTTGTTGCCCATCTTTTAGGGAAAAATATTGGACAAAAGGGTGGGAGGGGATGCAAGAGTTTAAGCAAAGTGTTGCTTGGGTTTAAAAAAGAGTATTTAAATTTGGTTGAAGAGATTGGAAAAAGTTTCATGGAGCAAACAGCATTTAGGGAAGAGCCCTGATATTAGGATTAGACCTGGGCGATGTGAAAGATAAAGCAAGCTGGAAGCATTTCAGGCTGAGGAAGCAACACCATAAGCCAAGACCCAAAGATGAAAAAAAATGCAAGGAGTATGTGTTCGGGGAAAAATCAGCAGCCCCACTGGCTTGTGGTAAGAGAATTCATGGGAGACTGGATTGGAAGCTATTCAGGGTCATATCACCACTTCAGTCACTGATCCTCCCCACCCTGGAGATGCTCACAACTTCCCTGTAAGTGAAGGTTCACACAACCACCATTATAAGTTACACTTGACTTTCTTTGTAGACAGTGCCTTTATTTAACTGATACAAAGAAGTATGGGACTTAGTAAACAATTAATAAATTATCATTAAACTCTTCTTGTTCCAGTATTGAAAGGGGATTTTTTAATTCAAGCTTTTGTCCAAGTATGGGTTATCTGTATCTTTTTTGAATAGCGACTTCTTTCACATAGAGATTATTTGAATTTCAGGGTTCATGTTGAAGCTATTGACTGGAAGACTGAAAGGGAAGGAAGCGTAATGGGCATTGGGTTAACAATATAAATTTTGTTCTAGGTTATTAGAAGGGAAATTGTTCTCCACGCAAATTTTGACAAAGTTGGATGAGTAAATGAAAGAAATGCCATTCTAGTTGGTACAGTATAAAAAGTAACTGCCTTGGGCCAGACTTCAGTTTCAAATTGGCCTCCAACACTTACCTGTAGTATGGTCTTGGGCAATTCATCTAACCTCTCTATGCCTTGATTTCCAGTTGTATAAAATGAGAAGTACAATCACAATAATAAAATATGCCAGCAATATACTGTATTACTATCCACCTGTAGGAGGAGTATGTATTTTCACCCCACTGTCTTTGGACCTGGCCATGTGATGTGTTTTGCCCAGTGGAATGTGACATTTGCCACTCCTTTTATTATGAGAACAGCATGCTCCTAAGGAGGCTGCTCTTTCAGCCAGCATTCTAGAACGAAGAGGACACAGGAAGCAGAGATGCAGCTGATCAACAGCTTACATAAAACCTGAATGATAAATAAACTTTGTCATTGTAAGTCACTGAGATTTGCGAGTTGTTCCTGCTGCAAAGCCAAGTAATACACTGTGCCACCCACCTCACATATTTGTCTTAAGCGAATGTTTAAAAGCGAATGTTTAAAAATGTTTTAAAGCACTTTATAATGTTCTGTGCCCGTCTATGTCTCAAAGCAGCTCCTACTCTCGCTATAGATTGATGCAGGTCAGAAAAGTTAGAAACAGCACTAACTTATGTGAGACAGTAAAGTGGGAATACCTACTTTCCAAGCTGCACCTCTCTCTCCTGCCCTTCTGCCATTGGTCCCCAAATTCGTTGCTACTGCCCCGTTAGGATTATACTCAGTTCCTATCCCATATCCTCATAAAACAAAATAATCGCACAGGTTTTGTTATTTGTGATGTGAACTTTCATAAAAATATTGAAATGGTACCGCTTTTTCTGCTAGTGTTGGCCCCAATTCTTCCGAGAAAATGCTCAGAACTGCCGGCATCTGTTTCTTCTCTCTATTTTGGTTAAATTTTACTTGAATCCTTCATTTAGTCAGTTTTGCCAGAACGTCTCTGTGGAATCCTATTTAAATTCAAAGCACTCTATGAAAAAATTTCAAAAGGATCGCTTAAAAAACACACACACACATTTCAATTTAACTAGCAGTAAGTAACTCTTGTTGACTAAACTCAATAAAGAAGCAACCACTGACACCACAGAGAAAAAGCCCAAGGGGTGGCACCCCGACTGGCATTAACCCAGGGAGACATGATGGCTAGGGAAGTAGGTGGGACAATGACTGGGCCCGAAAACAAGAAAATCTTTGTTATAAAAAGCCTCCCATTTCTGCACAACTAAGTTGAAAGAAGGTAAGCTTCGAGTTACAGAAGCCTAGGCAGTTTTGAATTCCAGCTGGCCCGCAATCTCTTGCAACCTTAGGCCGCTTACCTGAGACTTAGCCTTTCTTACCCAACGAATCAGGGAAAATAACAGCTATCTTACACGACTAGCAAGTTCGTGTTAAATGGAATAAGATGAGTGGAACACCTAAGAGAGGACTCAAACATTAATAGCGTCTCCAAAAATTCTCGATTTGTGGTTGGCTGAGGCGGAGGAACAAGATGGCGGCGCCGGCAGCGTGACCGGGCCCTCGGGCCCACAGCCGTTGGCAGCGGTGGCAGCGGTATCGCTGCCACAACTCCCTGTGCCCCCTTTCTCAGCCCGCGACGTCGCCGCGACAGCGAGGCAGCGACCGCCACCCAGAAAGAGGTGGTGGCCCAGCCTGGCAACCTTGAGAAACCCTCGAAAACTGTGGCCTGGCGGAAACCCTGGTGTGCTCTGGGGATCAGGCTGACTCCAGGCCCTGTAACACCCAGAGAGGCCTCGGTGGCCATTTCCAGCAGCCCTCACCCTCAGGCTTGTGGGGCTGGCGGGCCCGGAGGCCTCCATCCTCCCCTAGAGGGGTCAGGGCAGAGCCCAGCCTCCATCTTTGCCTCTCAGGATGGCAAACAACAGCGGCTCCAAGGCCGAACTCGTTGTGGGAGGGAAATACAAACTGGTGCGGAAGATCGGGTCTGGCTCCTTCGGAGACGTTTATCTGGGGATCACCACCACCAACGGCGAGGAAGTAGCAGTGAAGCTGGAATCTCAGAAGGCCAGGCACCCCCAGTTGTTGTATGAGAGCAAACTCTACACGATTCTTCAAGGTGGGGTTGGCATCCCCCACATGCACTGGTATGGTCAGGAAAAAGACAGCAATGTGCTAGTCATGGACCTTCTGGGACCCAGCCTCGAAGACCTCTTTAATTTCTGTTCAAGAAGGTTCACCATGAAAACTGTACTTATGTTAGCCGACCAGATGATCAGCAGAATTGAATACTTGCATACAAAGAATTTTCTACACCGAGATATTAAACCAGATAACTTCCTGATGGGTACTGGGCGCCACTGTAATAAGTTGTTCCTTATTGATTTTGGTTTGGCCAAAAAGTACAGAGACAACAGGACCAGGCAACACATACCGTACAGAGAAGATAAACACCTCATTGGCACTGTCCGATATGCCAGCATCAATGCACATCTTGGTATTGAGCAGAGCCGCCGAGATGACATGGAATCCTTAGGCTACGTTTTCATGTATTTTAATAGAACCAGCCTGCCGTGGCAAGGACTAAAGGCTATAACAAAAAAACAAAAATATGAAAAAATTAGTGAGAAGAAGATGTCCACCCCTGTTGAAGTTTTATGTAAGGGGTTTCCTGCAGAATTCGCCATGTACTTGAACTACTGTCGTGGGCTGCGCTTTGAGGAAGTCCCAGATTACATGTATCTGAGGCAGCTATTCCGCATTCTTTTCAGGACCCTGAACCACCAATATGACTACACATTTGATTGGACGATGTTAAAGCAGAAAGCAGCACAGCAGGCAGCCTCTTCCAGTGGGCAGGGTCAGCAGCCCCAAACCCAGACAGGCAAGCAAACTGAAAAAAACAAGAATAATGTGAAAGAAAACTAAGCATGAATGAGGAACAGAAGAAGCAGAGCAGATGATTCGAGCAGCATTTGTTTCTCCCCACATCTAGAAATTGTAGTTCATAGGCACACTAGCTAGTGGCTGTGGACGACCATTTACTTGGTGTGAAAAACTTTATTTCAATATAAACTGACTCTGGGGAGCATGGGTGATGCTGTATCCCAAGGCGTAGCCGCTGTAATTGTGAATATTAACTGAGGTAGTGAAACATGGTGTCTGGTTTTCTATTGCATTTATTCAAGTAGAAAAATTAACTAAATGGTTGACACACACGAATTGGTGGAGACATTGTCCATATGCCAATTTTTTTGTTAAAACCTTTTATTTTGAACTAGACTGCTCTGAGATCTCATTTCAGAAGAACAGTCTTCAGCCACAGCTGTGAAGGTTGTAAATGCTTACAATTGAGCATTTTTAGGGTTTCTCCATCCCTGGAGTCTGCAAATTGTTCACACTAAAAGCATTCTTAAAATGGTTGGCTTCTTGTTTGCAAGCCAGCTGATCTGGTAGCAACCAAAAATTCCAGTTTTGAGAATAGGAAAGATACTGCCTGCTTACCTGTGAAGACGTAAGAAAATCTTAGTAACTACCAGATAATCTTTAGAATTCCACACTAACTTTATCATGTTTTCAGTATTATAAAAACAACAACAACAACCATATTTGTCACAGAAATTTAGTTAACATCTTACAACTGAACATGTATGTACATTGTTTAGATAAATGTAATCACTGTAAACACCTATATGATCTGCGATTTTGTTCATATTTTGAAATGGGAGCTTTTATGTTTTACAAGTTCACTAAAAACAAAACCGTTTCCGTAAGGAAATGATACTTTTTTAAACAACCACCAAAAAATGCCTTGCTGATTCACTAGGAAATAAAAATCTCCCCAATTTTTTGCTGGTCAACTTAAAGTCATTTGTTACATGATATTCCTTTGCAAGTAAATTTTATTTCATGACATAACTTTTTTCAATGTTTTTATTCTAAAATAATTGTTTTGTATGAAGAGGAAATGTATTCTTTCATTTTTCTTTTTCTAATGACTTGTGGTACAGTATCTAGTACTGCAACTGTCAGAACTTGGTATTGTGACTTCTTCCACTGACTAATAGCTGGGCTGATTTCAAATAAGACTGCAAGCATTGAAGGGTTTGACTATAAAACATTGTTGTTTAAAATACTTGTGAAATGGCTATAAGCAGTTGACTTTTACCCTTGGAGAGCACACTGTGTGAGGTTCTGTGATCACTGACCCTCCCTAACCCCCATCTGCTTCTCTGAATTATGTGTGTGTGTATGCGCTTCCTCTCAATCTTTTTGCACCTTCTTTTTATTTCTCTGATGCAAGATAAAGGAAAACTCATTTTCCTTTTAATTCTTTAAATAGTGTAATTTATTCACTTACAGCATGTCAGGATAAATTAAAAGAACATTTGTCTGAAAATGCTGCCAGGAGCCTATTGTGTAAAAGTAGGCATTTTGTAAAATAACCTTGAAATTGTAAATTGCCACATGTTTGGTCAGATTATATCAGGTTTCATTTATTTTTTTATTTTTTTCATTTGAAAACTACTTCAGCAATAATTAATTCCATGATTACCGCATTCTGCCATTAAGGGATATATTAGTACTATAATACTGAAGAAATCTTAATAAGTCCAAATGTTGGGGGTAGGAAGCTTCTTTGTTTCTTTCTATCCACCCTTGTTAGTTAAGGTATTTGTTTCTTAGCTATTAAGCCCTTTCCAGAAATCAGTCTCATAAAGCTATTTTTGAGTATAGTTTATATAAAAGAAAAATATTTAACTTTGGTAGTAACTTTTCCAAGCTTACCTCTATCTAGCAAGATATTTTTCAGTGCTTTTATTCAGTATGTACTTATTCTGAAATATTTTTATATTCTTGCCATTTGAAAAGGTTGTGGCATAGTTGTTGTATAATGAAGTTGCAGATTTAAAACTACTGTTAGCTTTGTAAAACAAAATATAGGTGTTCCATTTTTCTTCTAGATACCATTCATTGTCTTCACAGTTCATAAAAGAAGAATGTGAAATGCAGTGAATGCTGTTACTAGTCATGCCAAGAGATGAATCTCATTTCACAAAAATTACATTATGTTTTTCCACTAAAGGGTGATATAAGTTGAAGACACATCACTGCGATATTGGGAGACCTCACCCCTTAAGGCTCCACAGTGGCTTCCTCAGCCGAATTCTAAGTTACTGCTCTTTACTTTGTTCACCCATTGGAGAGTGCAGTTTTTTTACACATTGGGAGATGGCCATTCTAACTACTGTTCAATGTCTCTGTTTTGGGGAGGGTAAAACAAGAAAATTTTGAAAAGAGTATACATGTCCGGGCACAGTGGCTCACGCCTGTAATGCCAGCACTTTGGGAGGCCGAGGCAGACGGATCAGCTGAGGTCAGGAGTTTGAGACAAGCCTGGGCAGCATGGTGAAACCTCATCTCTACTAAAAAATACAAAAAGTAGCCAGGTGTGGTGGTGGATGCCTTGTAGTCCCAGCTACCCATGAGGCTGAGGCAGGAGAATCTCTTGAACCTGAGAGACAGAGGTTGCAGTGAGCTGAGATCGCACCACTGCACTCCAGCCTGGGTGACAGAGCAAGACTGTCAAAAAGGAAAAAAAAAAAAAGAGTAGACGTGAAGGGAGACACTGGTTATCCTACCATATGGATGTGCTTATGCTTTGATGGTCTACAAATAGATATTTGGAGGTTTACCGTTACTATGATTTTTCCACCAACAAATATTTTTATTAAGAGATTTTCCTAATTCCATTATAATAAAAATATCAAACAAAAGAAGTTTTTTAAAAAAAAAAAAATCGTCTTCTTGGATTCTTTTTCATTAACCTTCTTCCATTGGGAACCTATGGCCGAGTAACAAAAGGAACTATATTCTGCCACATCAAGACAAAAGACAATAATATATTTTGTATTCTAAAGCCAAAACTTAAAAGAAACAGCATGCACACATTTATATATATGTACTTTTTTCCTTGACATATTTATAGCTTCTCATAGGTCACACACATTAAAAAGTAGCACACATCTGAAATGTGCAGAAGTAAAATCACACATATTCCGAATAAAGTACATCTTCAGTTCTGTATTTCTCTGTCCTCCAACTTTGAAATCCCTAGGAACTACAAAAACAGGGAGAGAAAAAGAGAGCCCCCCACCCATCAAGAGGTCATATTGAATGATTCCAAGGGATAGTGGAAGCCTGTACTGAATCCAGGTTTTTAAACTGCCAAGTTTTAACTCCTGGCTGCAGTTCCCAACATATGACATAATTTAGAAACTTGATTTAGGCACAGGAGAATCACAGGACTTAAACACTATGTCCCTCAGCATGTAAAATATTTATGGAAAATCCAGGCAAGTAATAAGCTGTAAAGAAACTAAAAGGAAAAACTTTTGAAAAATGGCAGCTATAGTATTTTAAATCAAAAAGGGAAAAATAAGAAACGATGGCCATTTTATTAATGTGTAAGTTGAGTGGAACCTCTTTGGGTCCTTCACAGCCTTTCTATTCTTCCACCATCTTCTAACATCTATGATTCCTTGGGGCCATTACGAGACCCACCAGGAGGATGGAGCAGCTGAGAATGGTGCTACTTTTCCAATCAGAGATGATCACAGAAGTTTACAAATGAGCATTTTCACCCCAATCCAGCAATACCAGCACCACCACCCACAATGTTTTCACATACAGACTTGTTCACATATACCCTGAAAAAAACTTCCAAGGCTTCCCACTGCATCTATTTGAATCTATCTTAATGATCTAAGGTTTGACTCAGAAATTACAGATGAAATTAAGTTTTACCTACAAATCTCAGCTTTACCTCTAAAATCTCATCTGGTCAATCTTTGTTATCCCTGTTACAGAAAGAGAAGCATGATAAACACAGAAAAAAAAAGTCACCAAATTATACAAAATGATTTTCATTTGTTCATGTTGGTGTTTAACTGTAGACATATTCTGATACCCAGGCACCCATCTGTGCATGGCTGTTGTTCTCCATGCTTAAGAGGCCATAGTTATATTTCAGTACAGTTCATTCACATCTTCAGTTATTCATTTGTTAAGCACCTACTATAGGCCAGATATTGTTCTAGTTGCTGAGGCTGTATCAGTGAATAAAATAGGTGACAATCCCTACTGTCATGAAATTTACATTCTAGTGGGGGCAACAAATAAATGAAAGAAATAATTAAAATTACTCAGAAGATAATTGCAATGAAGAAAAATAACAGTGGAGGGAATGAGGAGTGTTGTGCCCAGCTAAAACCAAGGCAGTCAGAGAGTCCCTCACTTAGAAAACTGAAGGAGCTTCTATATAGCTGAACATGTGGAGGCTCCTGGAGGGTGGAAGCTCCATGCCCTTTCTCCCACACGTCACTCTATGCATCTTTTCATGTGTATCCTTTGTGATAAGCCAGTATAAAGGTCTCATTGGGCATACCTGCTATAATCTCTGTAATCTCATTATCATACAATTAATTATCATTGTGGAATAAATTTTCCTTAAGTGGAAATATTTGCACTACCTAGAGCTAATGATGCTGGAAAAGATGAAACTCACATTTCTCTATAGGGCCGGGCCTCACTTTGAGATCCCTGTTTACTCCTGCCAAGCCTCTGTCTTTACGTCTGTAATGAGCATGTCCATTTCTGCCACTTTGAGAGATGTGCAGCTGTAGGAAGCTGTGTTAGGTATAGTCACGAGATCTGCTAGTCTGCAGCAAAGTGCCAGTGTATGACAGCCAGTGCACCATCATCTACCCCTGGGTATGGCTGCAAATGAGAAGAGGTCTTTTAAGGTGACCTCCCAGACCTACAAACAACTACTCTTTGCCACCACCTTCCAACAGAGGGTTCAAATGGTTGTACAAGCACAGTGCCAATGAGATTGTTTTTTAGACCTGTGTCACCTACTCAGGAGGTTTATAACCTCCTCTGCATTGTTTAATGACAGCTGATAACTGAAGGGAATAAGGATGTTGAATTTTATTAGAGGCCTGTCCTCCTGGAAAGCAGTAGTGGTTGAGAAATTCCCCACCCTTTATGTTCTGGGATATAACTAACTGCAAAGGACCACCCTGTTCTTGTAGATAGGACTCACCTCTACCCTTTGTCATGACTCACATATTCCTCTACCTCTGTAAAGCCATAGGCCCCTTTCCCTTTTTTGAGATGTTCCTTATTCATGAACCTTTTTCCTATTGCAATAATCTGAATAAAATCATCTCCTTTAAAATAAAATGCTATCTGAGCAAAGACATGGAGAGCACTTCAGCAGGGGCAAAGGCTCTGAAACAGGAACACACCTGGAGTATTTGAAAAATCGCAAGAGGATCAGCAAGGCTAAAGGAGGGAGAAGTAGGAGACAAAGTCAGAGGTGAAGGACTCTGTATTCACCATACATGACGTGAATGAGATGATGGAAGCAGAAATGATGGAAACAGAGGTGATGGAAACTCTACCTCAATCATCCAGGTCCACAGGTGCTTGTGGTTAAGACCAAACTGGGGAAGGACAAGAAGTTGTTGAATTCTAGGTATATTTGAAAGGCAGAGTTAATAGATTTTTATAAATATATGTAAGAAAAAAAAAAGCAGCCAAAGACGATTTCCTGATGTTTGGGCTGATTAACTAGAAGGAAGAAGTTACCATAAACTGAGATGGGGGGAGAGACTGTTTTGAGTAAGACAAAATAAGGAGTTCAGGTTTGCTCATGTTGAATTTTAGATGCGTATGAGATGTAGATGCCTCAAGGAGGGATTGGGGGTGTGCCTAATAGGCAGTGTCTGGAATTTGGCTGGCTTCTCCACCCTAACTTTACCTCCAACAGGTACTTTCACGGTCCCCTTAGCCCTTCAGCCTACTCTAAATACTTCCCCTTTCCTCACTTAGAGGATTGAGATAACACA